AATTGTGATTTGATTTTAAATAAATTTTATAATTTAATTATTATATTATCTATTAATTAAATAAATAGAAATATAAAGATTAAAGAAAAACGAAAAAAAGTGAAAATGTTAAAAAAATTTTGAACCAGTCAAGTCAACCAAGTTGACCAAATTTGACCGAATTTGATCAAGTTTGAGTGGATTTAATAGGGTTTAGACGGGTTTTAACCAGGTTTGACTTTAAATAGGTTATTATCATCACTCAGCTTATTTTTAAAATTAATTCAAATTCAACCGATTAAACTGATTAGACTAAACCAGACCATGTTTTAAAACAATGGTTTATATTAGTGTATACAACAGTGTTGTCAATGGCCACCACAGCAGCATAGTGTAACGGCTAGCTATGGTTGCTATGGAAAATCTCCATAGCGTAGCGGGTGAACAATTGTGGCCACTATGATCGTTAATAGAGGTCATTATACAAATAGCGGGTAGTAGGTATAGCGACCGCTATTTAAATTTCTTTACTTTTTTTTTAGTCAAATTACCATGTTAACCCCACATCAAGAGTTTAAGTTAAAAGCTTTCAAGGTTAATTTTGTCTTTCGAACTTTTCTATTTATAAATTAAAGAAAGAAAACCCTAAAACAACTCATCGCATCTAGTCTCCACATGTCCTACGCACTCCTCTCAACTCTCCTTTACCAGTCTACCCTCATGAGTCTCGATGCTAATATTCTCTCCCACTTTTCGCACCATCTAGTCTCCTCTTAGTCCCCATCAGCCATAGCAAGAGTTGAAGAGTGCAAGGCAACTCTCAGTCTCACAACTCACCCCTTCACATCTCCTGTAACTAAAGTTATTGGACAACGATTAAGCACTGATTTGTACATCATATCGTCTCCAATTTCAGGCAATCTTTCAAGTAAGCACTGATCTTATTAGATAGTAATTAAGCATGTTACAATTATTTTTTTTTTTTTTTGGCTTTGGTTTGCTTCTGCAAGTGCCATCTCTCTCTTTTTCTTTTTTCTTTTTTCTTTTTTTGACACCAAATTTTTTGGCTTTGGTTCTACTTTTGCAAGTGCCGTCTCCCTCTTTTTTTTTTTTTTTTGACACCAGATTTTTTGGCTTTGGT